GATCAAAAGTAAGAGAAACATATGTTAATAAGAATTAACTACATTATTTCAAAACCAATTTTCTTTAACTTTCAAATTGGTTATCATACAACTATATGTTATTAAGAGGAAGATAAAAAATGTAAATATTCTCAAAATTAAACTCTAATCAGTTCTTCAAATGATTTAGTATAAATGTCACAGCCTCACATCAAAGTCTTTTGTGTTGTGATCTCAGCCCACTTCTTCAGCCCATTCCTCAGTGACCTCTGCCCAGAATCAGTGCTCTGGCCAAACTATTTGCTCTTCTCCAAACCCCACAGAATTTTTCTCTGCATTTGTTCCTTCAGTTTCCTTTTCTTCTGCTCCTTTGCCTGTTTTTGAAATCCTCCCCATCTTTCAAGGTCTACCTGGACTGCCTCTTCCTCCTTTGAAATCTCTCCTGGTCCCTTCCCCTCCCACCTTTTCTAAATTAAAGACAACTACTTTCCTTAGATGGGTTACGTAGGGACAGCTTAGATATATGAGAAGAGATCTTAGATGCAATTGTGTCTAGTCCACCTATGTGACAGTTGGGAAACTGAGCATCTCAGAAGTTGGCACAGCCGGCCTGAGGTCTCCCAAGAGCCCTGTGATCCAGGTCTCCTGACACTGCAGTACTCAGTCCCATTTACCTCGGGCCTCTTGGGTTCATTCCAGTTTTATAATCACCTATAAAGTATAAGTGGCAGTGATGCTGACCAAGGGGTTTAAGAATGCAGCAGACTAAAAGATTTTTAAAAGAGATGAAAGAAGCAGAATTCTTTTCCTGATTATATGTAGATTCCTTACATGGTTTATTCCGTTTATTTAGAGTAATTTCTAAATTGCTTTTGCTTTGAATATATACCCTGAACATGCCTGAGGCAGGCATTCACTAGAGGTGGAATGATCCAGGGCTACCACTGAGCCCATACTCATCTGCCTCTAGGAAGCTAAACTACAGTAGTCAGCCTCCAGCCCCATAATGCACACAGCCACAGCTGCAGCCAAAGTGAGTCTAGGTAACCCCCTCGCCACACTGTTCCTTAGGTGGCCTCCAGATCCTTGAGAACAGGTTATTTGGGAGTCAGCCAACCGCTTGGTGTTCTAAGCTTTCTGCTGCTACACTGGGTAGGAAAGTCAAAGTCCTGGGGATGAAGCCTTTACCTATTCCTCCCTGGTGTGCAGTGAGAGGTGTCAGAAAGCAGATCCTAATGTTTGCCCCACACACAGTCTCACATTTTTTATGAATTTGATTTTGTTCTCTCCCCCGCCCGCCCATTGCCTTTGAGAGTTAGGACTCAGTATATTCTGCATTCTTTTTCTTTTATTCTTTTTTATTTTTGCATGCTTGCTCATAACAAATACTGTGGGAGAGAAACCCCACCTCCCTGGGTAGAATTCTGACAGCTGTTGACACAGCCGCAGCTTTGAAGGCGGTGCCTGTGTCCACTTGTCAGGGCCGCCTTCCCAGGATGCTGCTCCTGCACTGCTTCTGCCTGGTCTCTTGGGGTAATCATTCATAGTGTTTCACATTGAACTTGATCCCTTCCTCTAAATGAAAAGCAAAGCTAAACCCTTAGACCAGTGGTTCTCAACCTGTGGGTCGCGACCCCTTTGGCGGTCGAACGACCCTTCCACAGGGGTCGCCTAAGACCATCCTGCATATTAGATATTTACATTATGATTCATAACAGTAGCAACATTACAGTTATGAAGTAGCAACGAAAATAATTTTATGGTTGGGTCACAACATGAGGAACTGTATTTAAAGAGCCAGAAGGTTGAGAACCACTGCCTTAGACCCTGGGCCCAGAAAGGGGTAGTCCTGACAAAAGACTAGAGGGATGCTGAATTGTTTGTGGCAACAAGCTTTGAATTCTGCTATCCCTGCTTCTTCCCTCAAGGCACGTGCCTTTGTTCTCTCTCTCTCTCTCTCTCTCCCCTAAGCTCCAAGGGCCCTTCTTTTGCCTCTGTAATTTGTTTCCTGAGCCCACGCAGCCCAGCTGGCTCACTTTTCCTACCTCTTGGACTTTATAAATAAACTTTGCTTTTGTTTGGGAGAAAAAATGAGTACCAGAGTCTGTTGAGATCACTCATAATCTCAATATCTCATAGTCTTTAGCCATACTCATGGTAATTGTGCAAACTTCTGAGAATAAGCAGCGTCTACATATGACCATTGAAGAGCCTTCTTCCTTCGGTGCAGATTGATTTCATTTGAGTTTCATTTCAGCCTGCAACCATGGGTGTAATCCTTCGAAGAGCCAGTTCTCCCTATATCTTTGAGCTAAAAATGAATGTCCAGATGTGTCTCTTCAGATTGCTTTCTCTCTAAGCCTGCCAAAGGGAATGAGCTAGAGTTCATTGGCATGCAAGAGAGGGTATTTAATATTTATGAAGGGGGCCAGATGTTCAGGACATTTCACATCGCATCAAGTTAGACATGGTCCCTATTTTGATAAACTCACTTTCAGATAAATTATGAGTACCAGGCCATAGGAACAACAAATTGCCAGTCAGTTCTCTGTCGTGTGATCCAGTTGAAAGTGCTTTTCATTTAAAGCAGCGGTTCTCAACCTGTGGGTCGCGACCCCTTTGGGGGTCGAACAACCCTTTCACAGGGGTCGCCTAAGACCATCGGAAAACACATATATAATTACATATTGTTTTTGTGATTAATCACTATGCTTTCATTATGTTCAATTTGTAACAATGAAAATACATCCTGCATATCATATATTTACATTATGATTCATAACAGTAGCAAAATTACAGTTATGAAGTAGCAATGAAAATAATTTATGGTTGGGGGTCACCACAACATGAGGAACTGTATTAAAGGGTCGCGGCATTAGGAAGGTTGAGACCACTGATTTAAAGGCTCCTGGTTCAAGGCAGGTCCCTATCACCCACTTCCTCTGTGGCCCCCAGCTAACCCAAGAGGCAAAAGAGCTGCAAGTCATAGAGGTGATTTTGGTTAACCCAAACGTATAATTCTTTCCCTCCAGGGGGCAGCTCCACCAGCAGTGCTGTGAAAAGTGGACCCTGGTTAACGATGAGACCCAAGCCAAGATGGCCCGGATGGCTGCTGCAGCTGCATGGGGTTTAGGTAAGGCTTCCCTCATAGGCACCCTAGTCAGTGTGGGGAGAGTGAGGCTGGGTGCTCACATCAGAAAAGAAAGCAAGGTACTGCGGCTGCAGGTAGGATGTCAGATCTGCAAAAGTGTCAACCAGTCTATGCGCCTGTCTTTTGCATCTGTCCCTACTGGATGATTTTGACTAACTTGTTAGACTTGGGTAAAAATGGCTTTGCACGGGGAAGCCAAGGAAAGCAGTGAGCAAGCATCGAAATTCAGATGACTTCGTGAGGTGTATTTGGTTTTGTTTTGGGTTTGTCTTTTTGCTTTAAACAAGTTACTGGTTTATTTTTTCTCTGATTAAAGAAATCTCAAGGTAGGACTTCCCAGACTAGTATTCTGTCTCCATTGTCATTAGCCTTTTTCCATATTTCTGCTTTGCATGGGGCCTCTGTGTTCAGTCTACCTCATGATCCAGTACAGTTGCTGGAGCTCCACCCATCATGTCTTTAACCCAAGCAGGAACAAAGAGAGAAGAGAGCTGCCTGTCTCCTTTTATTTCTTAACTTTCCCAACACATATAAAAGTGAAGAAGATCATCTATTGAGCCCCCATATTCCTTTCACTGTCTCTAACAATTATAAACATTTTAGCAATTTTGTTTTCTCTCTTCTCCTCCTTGCTGCCTGCCTTACTCCCATTCTTCAAGTATTTGAAAGCAGAGGTTTCCTTTTAACCCCCACAGACTGTAGATTTCTGACATCAACCCCCAGTTGAGAGGGTGACCAGTGTCTGTTCCAGAGATGTTAATGAGAGGGGGAGGGTCCAGAGGATGTTGCAGGAGAAGAGCTTCACCCATCAAGCCCCGAGGAAGGTTACATAACCTTCCACCCACATTCTATCCCTCTTGAGTCACAGAGCTTATAGCCTTTCCTTTCATGAGCTCTGGGCTGGATCCAACACATTTTTCAAAAATAAATTACTTCCTGAGGAGTCATTGTTTGCTATTTTGCTTTTACCCAGAGGCATAGAGAATGGATGAGCTGCTGGGCAGGAGTGAAAGGCAGGAAAATGCCTTATGAAATTGGCAGCCCTGCAGTTTGCAGCTAATGAAGCTGATATCTTTTCTGCAGATGGTCTTAGAACCCCTGGCATTCGATACATGCTCACCCCACCAGGGGAAGCTATTCCAACTGCATTCCTGGCTGCAACCATTTTCCCACTCGGCCACGACACAGGCTACTGTGCCATGACCTAGGCCATCTTTCTATTTATCTCCTCCCTTCCGAGGCAAAGGTACTGCCAGAGTGAGACGGGCAAACTATTTGTCTAGTCCTGTCCCCTGTCTGGATAATGGCCATTTTCAGTTGTTAAGGGGAAATGTAATTTCCAATGTACCATTGAACTGGGAGATGCTTCACTAGTGAGGAAGAAAGCCATTCCATCTCACCTAGAGAAACCTGAGCAAGTTCTCCAGGTTAATGAGGTACTGCATCAAACCCTCTTGTCATGCGGGCTTCGCACTCAGGCCGTTCCTCCCATCCTTCATGGAGCTCCCTGGGGCAGCGTGGAGTCCTATGTTCAGAAGACAGATGTGGCTTTGTTTGTGGGAATGGGTTGCTCAACCTCACAGAGTGTGGAGGGTTCTCTGTAGGATTTTGATACATCAGGCTCAAGTTTGTCTCGTTTGAACCCCAAGCTAAGTGCAAGTAACAATGACAAGGTCTCTTTGAGATGCTGCCTTTAGCCCAGGAAGTTGGCCACCCTAATGCTTCTCTCCCCCTCCCTCCCCACCGTGTGTGTGTGTGTGTAGGTCAGTGGGACAGCATGGAGGAATACACCTGTATGATCCCTCGGGACACCCACGATGGGGCATTTTACAGAGCCGTGCTGGCGCTACATCAGGACCTCTTCTCCCTGGCACAACAGGTAAAAACCACATGTGTACCCAGACCATCTAGCAAGAAAAAGGTATTTATGTGTGGCCTGTCAGTTCCTAGGCACATGGTGCCTGTGCAAACAGGCTGCTGCCCTTCAGCTCTGGAGTCCGGTTCAGTGAGCTCCTCAGAGAGCATCACTCTCAGAAGAAGCAGGCTGCCAGCACATTAGCCGGGGCCTCTTTCCTTTAGAGAGGGACAAGTGTGTTCCAGAAGGGACCATTGCATCGCTTTCGGAGTTAGCTTCTTGGATGCAATGTCATCACTGCATCCTTCTTACCACTTGCCTTGGCGGTCCTTGCCACAGAGAGAAACTGTTTCATCAGCCATCCCCCCTGCGGCAGAAATCAGTCACAGGTGTCTTCTGGTTCTGTAGGTGTGTCGCACGTTGATGACCTTCCAGAAAAGCCAGTGCTTTATTTGAAAGCCCTGTGCGGACTTGCAGAATGACATAATGAAGCAATCACATCCACCCTGTCGGGCACCAGACTGTCTTGAATGAGGTGCTTGGGTAAATGACCTGAGCAGTTAAAGGATGGGGACATAGTAATTAACCTTAAACATTCAAACAAGGAAAAGCTCTGCATGATGGGTTTTTAACTGGAGAAACAGAGGAGGCTGCAATTGCAGTCCCATTGGCCGTCCCTGGGGCCTTGATTTAGTGACAAGAACTGAGACGTGGGCCATCCAGTCACTGGCCCAAAGCCCCGTTTGTACATTCTTCTCCCAATGTCAGAGGCACCCTCTTCTCAGCCAGAGATGACCCCACCCCCCACCCCAAGCCTCGTGAGTGTTTGCACACTCCAGTTTCACAAATGTGACCCGCAAGGAAAAGTTGAAAGCAGGTAGATACCCAAATTGTCCTCTTGATATGCAAGAGCACAGTGATTCTAAGCACACATTTCCCCTCCCTCATTACCCAAGATTTGGGGTGTTACCATAGATGTTAAGCTTTTGGTTGCCATACATTTCTGTCTTTTCCAAGACACCAGTACTCTTCCCTTGCCGTTCAGCTCTAGGAAGAGGTTTCTTCCCTTCTTTGGTGAATTTTTATCTTTATCATTGGAATTAAAGTGAGACAGGTAACTTCTGCAGCTCATTGAAAAGCCTGAAAATAACAGCACTACCCTCAGCTCCCAAGTCCAGCACTCAACTCCAGGGGCTCCCTGTTTCTCTCCTAGTGCATCGACAAAGCCAGGGACCTGCTGGATGCTGAGTTAACTGCTATGGCGGGAGAGAGCTACAGTCGGGCATACGGGGTGAGTATCGTTTTAGGGGCCCATTCAGCTCTTTTTTTCAGAGTGGGCTACTGAGGACTCACGGGCTGCTGAGCACATGCCTGCGTGTTCTCAGCAGACACCCTGCACCAGGAGTGACTGAAATGAAGCCTGGCTTTCGGATGGCTCATGTGACACTAAGTTGGAATGTGGTTTGCTTTCGTCAGGCCATGGTTTCTTGCCACATGCTGTCCGAGCTAGAGGAGGTTATCCAGTACAAGCTTGTCCCCGAGCGACGCGAGATCATCCGCCAGATCTGGTGGGAGCGGCTGCAGGTGAGCCTGGTAGAAAGCCCTCGGTGGCCAGCCCGCCCTCCTCACAGGCTTGTTTGCTTCGAAGCAAGCCACTCAAAGGCTTTTCACCTGAGCCTTTAGCTATGAGGACTACCGCTTTCTAGCCTCCTTTTATTCTTCTCTGGGAATAGAAGAAAATGTCTTTTTTTATTAAATATATTTTTTTATTGATTTCAGAGAGAAAGAGGGAGACAGAATGAGAGAGAAACATCAATGAAGAGAGAGAATCATTGATCAGCTGCCTCCTGCATGCCCCACATTTGGGGATCGAGCCTGCAACCTGGGCATATGCCCTGACCAGGAATTGATCCATGACCTCCAAGGTTCATAGGTCGATGCTCAACCTCTGAGCCATGCCAGCCGGGTGAAGAAAATGTGTTTAATAAGTGGCACTTAAGGCCAGCCAGTGGAGAATCTTCACCTCAAAATCAGTGGCTCTCAGTTTTAGCTGCAAATAGAGTGAGCTGGGGAGTTTTTAGGAATTCAGATACCCAGGCCACTTTCCTGACCAAATATATCCAAACTTCCGGGGAGAGACCCAGGAGCAGCATCTCTTTAGCCTGATTCCAGTGGATGGCCAGCACTGAGCACCACAGCTCTAAACCCGGCCGCTGGTCACCTGCATCCAGCTCTTCCCATGGCGTTGCCTGATGTTCTCATTGACCAGTGCCGCCGTGTACAGTTCCTCGGGTCATGGTCATCCCATGATCTCTATTCAGACTTTTTCACAGAAGTGTCCAGTCCTAGAGAAGCTTTTCCATGTCCTCCATCAGTGTCTTCATCGTACATTTCTGATCCTTTTAGCATGTGGAGCTGTCGATTCCAGGTCTGGGATTCAGCAGTCTTAGGTGTTCTTGGAAAGGGCAGTTCTCCCATGCCTTGAGCAGGTAGGAGGGGAAGTTCATCGGCAAAGACAGCCTTTGCCACTTCAGAAGCCACTTGTCCCCCTGCTTGTCATATTCAGCCTCCTCCGTTTTAAACTGTTTCCTCTTGGCCCAGTCCACACCTAAATTCTGTCTTCAGAATTTGGTCAATCCAGGTTGCGCTTCCAGGCTTTCAGTAGGCTGTGACAAAGCCTTTTGACTCCAGGCTGCATTCCTGCCTAAGCAGCTCAGGGCACATTCCACTGGAGAGGAAAGAGTAGCGGGCAGAGGATCGTCTGTGAATATAGTAGTCGTTTATGCTCTGAAGTGAGCACATGTAGTTCCTTCACATGTTTTATTAGCAATTATGAAATGCCCAGTGAATGTTTTGATGGAAAATTGTCTGTTGGACACCAGAAAAGAGCAAGCATTGCCCACTTGACTGGTACACACCCTGGTTTCTTAAGTGCCTGTAATGGGGCGAAGAGTTTCCAAACCAGAGATCTGGTGAGTGTGCCAGGCTAACAGTGGGACTTTATCCAGTGGGAGATTTGGAAGGGGAGTGGACTAAATGAGTCTTGGGGAGGGGAGACCCAGGTCTGACTTTACTGTGTCCAAGATACCGTCATCATCTTAAGACTTCACCATTCCTATCTCAGGACAGCAGGATGTTTCTTGGCTGACCAGGGCCAAATTATTTCAACATCTGGGAGAAACTAGCAGATGGTGAGAAGTCTCCAAAACACTCACTCAGTATACATTTTCCTGTTTTTCTAACTTTCCAAATCACTTGTTACACTTAATGGGATAGAAAGATAATGGTCCAAGGCCTGAAAATAAAGCTTTAAGTCTGTGGTAGAAATTTGGCTTTTGTGGATGGCTTGCTGTCAAAACACTCAGCCAACTGCCTAGGCTGGAAAACTGCCATGTTGTGCACAAGTCATCTACGTTGAAATCCCCAGCCAGCATCTCCCTTGGGGCAGTGCGAGAGGTCAACCCTAGTGGCATTGGGTCTCTTCTTGCCTTGGGTTCTTTATTTGGGCTCAGCCTGTGTCCTGTTTGTCACGTTGAAAAGCCTGCCATCATTGCTCCCAGACTTTTAGACCTATTTCCTTGGAGAACAGCTCATTTGGCTTCATGGAACTCACCGATGAAGCGGTAGATCTCAAAAACCATCTCCTCATCTCCCCTAATGGTTGTCTGACTACTGATCAGTGAAGGTGGAAAAGGAGAAGTCACTGCGCTCTCAAAGTCTTTGGATATAAGATTAGCTTGGCTCCTTTGATAACAATTAAGACACTTTTTTTTAATGAAAAAAATGCATACATGTGAATGAATGAGGCACTTCCCCTTATATGTGTAGTTTTCAGTCTGAGACGAACAAAAATGAAGAGGAAAGACTTTCGCCGGGCCAGCGTGGCCCAGTGGTTGAGCGTCGCCCTATGAACCAGGAGGTCACGGTTCGATTCCTGGTCAGGGCACATGCCCATGTTGCGGGCTCAGTCCCCAGTGTTGGGCATGCAGGAGGCAGCCTATCGATGTTCTCTCTCATCATTGATGTTTCTATCTCTCCCTCTCCCTCCCACTCTCTAAAATTAATAAAAACATGGCGGGAGCTGGGGGGGAGGAAAGACTCTAAGCATAAGCAAGGACGAAAGTCTTAGTGCTGGTTTAGGCTCTAATAACCAGAAAAATAAGTGCTACCAACTTGCGAACAACACCGTGTGAAATTTTAATTATTTACACTTCCTTTTATACTTAGTTTTTTGGACTTTGAATGATACGTTTAATTTCTTTGTCAGTGATAGTCATCTTCAACTAGAGAGACTAAAGCAAAGAAAAAAGTTAAAAATGTATTTATAATTCAGAAAAGAAACTTAAATAATTTAATTCCTTTAACCTTCACTGTAGCCCTATGAAGTCGGTATTGTTTATATCCCATTTTACAGATAAGTCACAGGAAGTTCAGTAACCTGTCCAAAGTCACACAGATACTAAGTGACAGAGTCAGGATTCACGTCCCAGAGTCCCTGTTCTCTGCTTCTCGAGTTTTGAGGAGTCCCAGAGAGGGGTTTCAATCACACACAGTACCTGTCACTTGAGAAAGTTCAGATTATAAAAATGAATCTCTTTTCTGTTTCAGGGTGGATCTCCCTGTTGTTTGGGGGTGGGGGGTGGGGTGGGGAGGTTTAAGTGAGGACATATGTAATCCTCACTTCTGAATGTTCCAGGGCTGCCAGCGTATTGTGGAGGACTGGCAGAAAATCCTGATGGTGCGGTCCCTTGTGGTCAACCCTCATGAGGACATGAGGACCTGGCTCAAGTATGCAAGTCTGTGTGGCAAGAGTGGCAGGCTGGTGAGTAACCCCGCCACCCTGGGATGGGGGAGGACGCTGAGGAAGGAATGGCACGCTTGGTCCGGTCCTGTTTATACCCTGACCTCTCTTGTTTTGAAGGCTCTTGCTCATAAAACCTTGGTGTTGCTCCTGGGAGTTGATCCGTCTCGGCAGCTTGACCATCCTCTGCCAACAGTTCACCCTCAGGTGACCTACGCCTACATGAAAAACATGTGGAAGAGTGCTCGCAAGGTCTGTATCTGGATCCCTCAACAGCAGGCCATGTTCTCCAGGAGGCTCACTGGCTCAGCCTCACTGCCTCCTCAAGGCCCCAGAGATAACGGCGTCCACACCATCATGTCAGGGACTTTGCTCCTCTTAGGCAGCTATTTGGCCTGATTTCAAAAAGGAAATCATATTCAGGGAGATACATATATACCATTGACCAAACCAGTGATTTTAATCACAGTTATGTTAGCAAGCAGAATGTGCTGGAACGTAGAAAAAGCGCACTTTCTATCCCTCAGAGAAGATGGGCTGTTCAGTACCTAGACGAGCAGCATGTTTGTGAGACACTGATGAACTTCCACAAGACCAGTTTGGTGTTTCAGACTGCTTGTCTCCTTTCCTGTCAGCAGTTGGGGATTCAAAAGCAACAGCACCCAGAGTGCGATGCTGAAGCCGGTGGGGACAGGAAAGTCATCCTGCAGCCAGTGCAGGATTCCTCCTGCCTTACGTACAGACAGGTCCTTGGGAGACGGATGTGCCTCCTGGGGGGCTGGGGGGGGGGGGGGTTGTAGTTTCTATTAAGCAAGCTTCCTGCATGGTGATGATGATGAACAGAAAGTAGGCCCTGGAGGCAAAATGAGTACCTGCTGTGGCTCCTCAGCCTCCTCCTGTGGAACAGGCGGGGCCCCCACAGTGGGGCCTGCGGTGAGAAAGGAATGTGGAGCAGCCACCAGAGCCATGGCTGCCAGAGAGCTGGTAAAACCGCAGTCGTGCCTGCCCACGGCGTACTTGGGAGATCCTTGGACTGCGTCTAGAAATTGACTTCTTTTGTGGGTTGTTGACCCTGTGACTGTGTCAGCCACCCAGAGTGGGGTGGACAGCCCTGCACCCAGGCACTGAGTCTTTGGGGTTCACTTCAATAGTAATGGCCCAAGTTTCCTTTTGTTTTCTTTTGTTGTTCTTTGGGTTTCTGTTTTGGTTTGTGTTTTTTCAGTCTCTGTAAGCCTCCCAAGCCAAAGCAGTTCTGATTCAAAGCCTGACCTCCCTCCAGGCAAATGAGAAAAACAGAAGGTGCTGGATCTGAATGTAGTCTGGTTTCTTTCCTATGTGCAGCCTCCAAGTCTTTGAATGTCTTGCCGAAGGCAGGCAGAAGGAGCCTTTGGCTAATATATCAACCAGGGAGTGGCTTCTTTCAGCTTAGGACCACAGCCTAACTTCTCCACAGATTAAGGCCTTTTCTTAGGAACCCGAGTTCTGGTGGGAGACCATAAAACCACATGGGTGAAAATTTAGAAACCTATTTAAAGAGAGGTGCTGGGACCTCGAGCCCAGAGCTAGAGATGGCACGTCTTCATAAGAGTTCGGGAGAGCCCAGAGGAGACTGACCGCTGAATAACTGCTAGTGAACAAGTCACCTGTCTCTGTGAGCTTTACTTTCCTCCACTGTAAACGGACTCTCTGCCTGGCCTGAGGCAGATGCAAGTGTTTGGGGAAGAGCAGCCCTGTTCTGCAGGAAAGCGTCAGGCACCGGCGTATGTCATGTAGTGTTTTCTCAGTCAGAATGCTTCACAGAATTTAGCAATAGTGTGCTCTTTCTTGAAATCTCTATCGTCTTGCCCAGAAACCCGCAGGCAGTTAAGAACCAGGAATACCATGCCCAGCTTAAAGCTTGGACCTGACAGAAGCCCCTTCCTTCAATGACAGTTCTGTATCTGTAAGGAGAAAGAATCTTTGTTCTCCTCCTCACTTCCTGGAGTGGAGAAAAAAAAGCATTTTTAATTCCTTGCAAATAAGTTGCCTCCATGCCACAAAGTAGAGAGAGATTAGATTCTCCCACACTGGATAAACGCACTAAACTTAATACTGGGCTTCAGATCCAAACTAATACCCAGCCTCTCCAGTTGGGGCAATTTATTTTTGGCTCAGCACCTTGTTGCATCTCCCAAACAGTTTTAACCGTGGGCTCTGAAAGCTTCTGGCACCAGTTCCCAGTTTAGTTCTCACCTGCTTGATGCGCACACTAGTCACACGAGTGATCTGTCACCTGGTAGTGACTGATCTTTTCAGTACTGTCTCCCAATTCTTGTTTTTTTCTTTCAAATATGGTCAGTGCAGTTCTCATAGAAAGGAAACTAAAGGAACATTTATCACTTCCCAGGTGTGGGATGCTAATGTAGTTCATTTTTCAAAGCCAGTGGTGAGTACTAGAACTCTACGAAGGCAGCTGTCAGGGAAACAGGTGTCTTGTTAGCTTTTGGAACATCTGTGTGTCTGCCCTGTCCTCATGCATGGATTCGCTGCCTGATAAAGTGTTTGTCACATCGTTCTGGCTCGGGGTTAGCCCTAGCTCTTCTTTTATTTTTATTTTTTTATTTTGGAATGTCTTGAGTCAGCTTTCAAGTCTTCCTGCTTAAAGGGTTATTGTACAAGTTTAGGTGAAGTGCCTGACACATGGCCCATCACACATACTTCATAAATAGTATGGTTCCTGTAGGCTGGAACCATAGGTTGGGGGCCAGTATACGAATTCATAGTCAGGAGTTATGGTTGACTCCATTATTCCAGAGCACACAAGTGGCTCATCTTCTTACCCAACTACTTCTACACCAGAGACTGGCCCTGCCCCAGGACCTTTCACGTCAGGTGACCTCCAGGTTCTTGATTCGTCCAGGAAAGATTTCAAGGACAGATTGGAGTGAGAACAAAGCAAGTTTTATTCAGGTAGAGAAAAAGAAAGGTCAGCACGAGTGCCACTGTGGAAAAAAAACGAAAAGTAGGTCCGGGTGGACGCAGGCCAACTTGCAAGGGAGTTGTGCCAGCCCTAACTCTTAAATTAATACCAAGTACTTCCTGATGTTGAGAAGTATCTGAGGTTGGCCATGGCCCCCACGCCAGGGAGTTTCATTTTCCTTCAAGCCATCATCACTGACATGTTTCCTTTTTCTTTTTTTTTTAAAGAAGACTCATATGATTTACTCTAAGATCATTCTGACCTTGTTTACTTGAAGTGTTTATTCTATTCCCTCCTCTTTTGCAGCCAAGAACACATAGCCTCTTTTTTACATTCTCACATACTGTGTCTCCTCCCTACGTTAGAAGATTGAACTTTCACCATGTTTTCCATTTGTGCTTTTGATGTTTGTGGGCTCATGTATTGGACTCAATTTATCAGGATGCTGTGTGTCTGGATGTGGCAGGCTTATACAGATGGCTTGTAACTGACTCCCAGATCTCTGGCTGTCTCTCCTCTTCACTAGTTCGGCTACCTGTTCCTAATGTCTGTTTTCCTGTTTACCAGGAACTTCTGTTTCTAACCAAATGCCCTCTGCTCACTTGGTATGAAATCCTATTGCATAAAAAGATTTAACTGCTTGAGGCTGCTCTGAAGATACTGCTGCTAAGCCACCCTGTTCAACTGGGTATCTGCTTAGCTAGTGACCTTTTCCCCGTGGATGCATGGAGGGTTTGCCTGTCTCTGTGTTCTGATTTGGGTACTGAGAATTCAATCAGATTTTTTTAACTGTAGTTTTTGCTCTGCTGTAGTGTCCAAGGTACCTACGGTGTTTTAAACAAATACTAAAGTTTTACTAGCTGAAATAATTCCCCATAAGCCTAATTTCCCCCAGGGCAATATATTGATAGTGAAGTAAGCAGTTATTTCAAATTACTTCATATGAATTGTTATTTCGGGTAGCCAGGCAAGTAGCTTTTCCAAGGCTTATTAAAGTAGTAATTACAGTTGGCAAAGGAGAGCTGAGACTTGGGTTGAAAAAATATGAATCTTCCTGAAAAGCCCAGCCTTCTCCCAGCAACATGCCCAGCTGGTCCTCTGTCCAGTAAGTTCTTACCCTGCATTCAAGGTGCTCTGTTTAGAGAGGGGTTGGCTCACATGCCTGTGACATTTCCCATGAGGTTGGGCCCCATGCCAAGTGGCTCCCTGTGTCTTTGTCCTGCTACAGATCGATGCCTTCCAGCACATGCAGCACTTCGTTCAGACCATGCAGCAGCAGGCCCAGCACGCCATCGCTACCGAGGACCAGCAGCACAAGCAGGAGCTGCACAAGCTCATGGCCCGGTGAGGTCCCCACTGGCCAGGGCCAGTCACACTCCAGTCCTGTCATGCCAGCAGCCTCTGCAGCAAGGGGAATGTTTGAGGCTTCTTGGGCAGCCAGTTGCTTACATCTCTCACCATTTCCTGTAGGGATCCCAGGCAGCCATCAAATTGTGCTGCTCCAAGCCTCTGCTACTTATTTCCACAGGATTCAGCAGCCCCTGAGCACCCAGGTGTTGTTCCCCTCCTGGATATCTGGCTTCAGAGATAGACTCCTTGTTTCCAAATGCCAGATGTGCTGCTGATTTGATGTGTGACTTTAGCTAAGTTACTGAACCTCTCTGTGCCTCCAGTTCCTCATCATATAAACAGGGGATAGTGAGAGTTCCTATTTTCTAGGGTGGAATTAAGTGGTGTGAGGATTAACGAAGAGAATACATTGTCAAGCATTTGGAGCAGTACCTGGAACAGAGTGGCAGTCAGTGAATGCTAGCTGTGAATATTGTCACTATGAAGAATGGAGGAGAAGGGAATGTGAGGGAGAAGCCATATGGCATGTGGCAATAAGGAAATTACTCTCACTACTGTCACCCACAAAATTGGATTTGGGAAAGATAGGTCCATACAAACCTACTGTCCCTGGTCCCTGGTTTAAGCTAGCATTGAAGGATAAAGGTCAAGAAGAAAAGATCTATATATATAAAAGCCTAAGCCAACCCTTCAACCGGCTGATGATGCACACTGACCACCAGGGGGCAGATGCTCAATGCAGGAGCTGCCGAGCTGCGGTGACTTGGCAGCTGTGGTTCTTGGCTGACGCACCCAGAACCAGAGAGGAGGGAGCCCAATTCCAATGTGTGTCACCTGAGAAACGCTCTCTCGCAATCCAGGTCCCCTCGGGGGATGTTGGAGAGCCAGTTTTGGCCCGATCCCCACAGGCCAGGCCGAAGGACCCCACCGGTGCACGAATCTGTGCACTGGGCCTCTAGTAATACCATAAAAATTTATCCCACACGCCCATCTTCCTCCCCCGCACCCCACCCCATGTAGTTTGCAATTCTGTTGGTTCTATCATGTTGCTTCCTGAGAGCAAGTGTAACCTCAGAAAGGCTGTAGTGCTCTCCACCATAACTCCTTGGGAGCAACATGAGGGGCTTGTTTCTCTGTTTCCAGGTGTTTCCTGAAACTTGGGGAGTGGCAGCTGAACCTCCAGGGCATCAATGAGAGCACAATCCCCAAAGTCCTGCAGTACTACAGCGCTGCCACGGAGCACGACCGCAGCTGGTACAAGGTAACGCAGGGCGCGGGGCTCCCAGCCCTGCCTTCTCCAGATGGCACCCCAGCACCCGACAGCCCGCTGTGCTCCTTCGTGCTTGTGATTGGCAGCCGGTCTGATACTGTGAATTTGCTACTTTGAGTGCCGGGAGCCGGTTTTCAGGCCCCTTAGAAGTATAATCAGTGTAGAAAGATGGATTCTTTTATTTGAGAAAGATTTATTACACCTTCATTACACACATGGCTGCTGTCTTCCAGCCCTTTAGCTGCTTGTTTTCCTAGGAGCATCTGGACACATGGTTAATCTCTGGAGCTTTATCTTCCCTTGGGTCATCTGTTCCTTTCCAGCTCCTTTCTGACTTCCGTTCCTGCCTGCTCTTCATCTAAGAACTTAACTTTCTCTGTTTTTATTGGAAAGCTCTGGGTAACATCCTGTTATGCTGTAGGAAACTTTTCAAGAAAATAAACAGAATTAGGAAATGCATAAAAGATACGACTGACAATAGAGGAGCAGTTCTTGGAAGTGTACTTTGAGGGGCCTTCTGGTAATAGCTGCTTGGTGTAGCAGATGTCACTGATTTCTTTCCCGTATCCTCTTAACCTGCTAACGCTTTGTGCATTAATCCCCCGGGGCTCTAAACTTGTATCTGAAGATCACAGAAGCATCTAAAACAAAAATCTTATCTTTATTAAAAAATGCCCATTTCATGCTATCAGCATACTGTAGGACAGCTTCAGTCCAGGGCTGGAAAAGTAAATCCAGTAAACCCTTAAACATCTGGAACCGTACTAATTTGAGCTGTCTCCTGACCAGATGACTTTGCTTCATCCAACTTTTAGGAAAAACACAAGTCACACACAAAAAACTGCTTCTAGAAATTTTAGATTTTTCCTGCCTAGTATGGGTTTATGCTGTCTTCTCCATCCGTGGTGTAGTCCTTTGTGCTTGCAGGGACAGCTTCTGTCTTGTCACCATGTACCCCAGCTCAGGGCCTGGTGCATAGTAGATATACAAGAGGTATTGGTTGAGTAAATGAGGATGTGGGAGAACTGAACCTGCTCATTGTAGAATTCTTACTCATCAAGTAAAGTTCACTTATGATGAGTCTCTCTGCTTAGGAGAAGAAATGGACACGTTTTTATTAAAGGAAGGTTTTAGCAAGGAACACAAAGGAATTTCATGATTATTTAGAAAGTCTAATTGCAAACTTACTAGGCGCCCAATCCAACGCGGCCTCAGGCTTCCTGCACCACTCAGTGCTGTGCCATAGCATCACTGCGGCCCAAACCTCAGGTGTGATTAGTCCTCTTTTATCCAGTAAGCATTAGGTTCCTTCCCGCAAACAGCCATTGAGCTGCCAGGTGTGAGGGCTAGACGATGAGCGAAGTTCACCCTCCACAATGTCCGGGTGCTGTAAATGTGTTCATTTTCCCACTGTCACATGATCTGGTTAAGGCTTTCACCATCACTGCCCTGCACCTGTGCCCTCTGAAATCATCTGGTTTATGCACTGTTGCCAAAGGAAAGCTCCATCTCCTACCGAATGAAACGGGACCTCCTGGGCCTGATATGCCGGCCCCTCCGTGATCTGACCCCCCACTTGGCTAGCCTTCCCATCACCACCGTCCTGCACACACCCTAAGCTTCAGTCACATCAGTTTCTTTGTTTCCTGTGCTGGCCCCACCTGCATCTTTGTCCCTGTTCTCCCCCCGCCAGGAAGTCCTGACCGCTGCTCTCGCTTGTTCTCTCCTTGCCCATCAAAGGCTGCCCAAGACCTACCCCAAATCCCTCTGTGAAGCTTTCCAGGCCCTGTCCCTGGAATTCCCATCGTCCGTCTCTAATTGCCCGTGTCGCATTCTGCCTGTCTTCAGGTTTGTGAGTGAGCCCCCTCCTAGACTAGAAGGTCCCTGAACAGGACCAGGGCTTGCTCCTCTCAGATGCCCTTCCCCCACAGCACTCACCACAGTGTCAAATGCAGTAGGTGCCACAACATGAGTGAGCCACATCGAGCTGAGTTGAAGTTTGGCCTCACTGACCAATGAGGAAGGGCAGTCACAGCGCTCCTCCTCAGCTTTGTCCTCAGGCTCTCAGCCCTTGATGCCCAAGCCCCGCTCCGCTGCTGTTGGTCACAGCCTGTTGTCTGTCCCCACTCTGCCCCACCCAGGCCTGGCACGCGTGGGCAGTGATGAACTTCGAAGCTGTGCTCCACTACAAACATCAGAACCAAGCCCGCGACGAGAAGAAGAAGCTGCGTCACGCCAGCGGGGCCAACATCACCAACACGACCACTGCCTCCAGCACAGCAGCTGCCACCACCACCGCCACCAGCACTGAGGGCAGCAACAGCGAGAGCGAGGCTGAGAGCAGCGAGAACAGCCCTACACCCTCTCCTCTGCAGAAGAAGGTCGCTGAGGTACCCAGCCCTTCCTCCTCCGGGGACCGACTCAGGCACCAGGCGCTCTGAGTGGACACGTGGTTGGGCTTATAGGAATCTGAGGCTTTCCTCCAAAGTGCCAGATGGAGCTAGAAAGCATTGCTTATTTGCCGTGTGGCATCATTGGAGCTTTTGTGTGCATCCTTGTGTTTGGGGAGCTGACATAGCCCCGAGCCAAAGAACGAGTTCCTTGTCGTTCTTCCGGGGCATGAGCTCATCCTCCCAAGGCCCTGCACCTGTGTGTGTGGGTGGCCGTGCACATCTGCCGGTCCACTCTGAGGACAGCCCGGCGGGATCCTCCTCTGTCTTTGGGCTGTCAGTTCAGAGTGTACCCTGGGCTGTTCAGAGATTCAGCCCCACCTCCTCTGTTCAGGAAGCCACCATTACCCCAAGGTAATAACAGTTATGACACCACTGCCATTTATTGAGTACCTGCTATGCGCCAGGTACCGATGTAAAGGCTTTTCATGCATTGCCTGATTTATTCCTCACTGCCACTCTTGGAGGTGGGTGCTGTTAGTATGCTTTTGCCCATTTTACAGATGAGAAAGCTGAGACAAGAGTGTCACTAACACATACGTTTCTACAGGATCTATCCAAAACCCTCTTGATGTACACTGTCCCCGCCGTCCAAGGCTTCTTCCGTTCTATCTCCTTGTCACGAGGCAACAACCTCCAGGATACTCTCAGGTATCAGGGATGGGAAGGGGAAACTGGTAGGCCATGGGAATGGCAGAACACAGACGTTATACATAAAGTGCTCCTTCCCTTCCCCACCCCCATCAGTACATCCAAGAGGAACAGCTGAGCAGGCCCCACCCCTGTGGGTGAAACCTGCAAAGATTAAGGAGGAGAAGTGGCCTGAGGAGTCTTCCTGTGGTTTGTCCCATAGAGAAGAAGAAACTCACCTATTTGTTGAAATATTGGTGAACTCCCCTCAGCTTTAGAGCCAACTCTGAGAGGCTAAATAAATGGCATGGACCCGCCAGGCCAGAGGCTGCAGGTGACAAGGGCGGCCTCCTTTTGTTTTGGGATATCCAGCCGGCCAAGCGTCAGGTTTCTGAATTGCCACTGGTGTCTAGGCGACTCTTTGTACCTGTGCAAAGATTATCCCTGTGTTGCCCATGGGCCCATCTGTTAGATTTCTGAGCTTGTACCATGGTGATCCCTCCACCTTATCTGAATGCAATGATTATTCACTTGGGATGATCCTGTGGTGTTAGTCGAACACTGCGGCCCCCACCACCCACCCACTCGCAGTGGTCCTGAGAGCAAACACCTTGGAGAGCCACTGATTTGAGGTCCTGCCAGTTCTTCTCCTCTCAGTCTTTTTTTTTTTTTTTAAATATATTTTATTGATTTTTTTACAGAGAGGAAGGGAGAGGGATAGAGAGTTGGAAACATCGATGAGAGAGAAACATCGATCAGCTGCCTCCTGCACACCTCCCACTGGGATGTGCCCGCAACCAAGGTACATGCCCTTGACCGGAATCGAACCCGGGACCCTTCAGTCCGTAGGCCGACGCTCTATCCACTGAGCCAAACCGGTCAGGGCTCCTCTCAGTCTTAAAGGTGAGAAACACAGACGCCGGGAAACAATGTCCTGTGACTTTCTCATTTTTCTTTTCCAGAGTCCTCACCTTATGGTTTGATTATGGTCACTGGCCAGATGTAAATGAAGCCTTAGTGGAAGGGGTGAAAGCCATCCAGATAGACACGTGGTTACAGGTGAGGGCACTTGGTTACAGGTGAGCATGGGTCAGCTCTCACTCCTCCATCTCCTCTTAGAGCCAAGCAGTGTTGGGAGTAGCAGGTAGCAGGGAGTACAGTGGTGAGGAAGTAGGGATCGGTCCCGAGGTCCAGACTTCATATTTTCGTTAGTTTCTTTTAGAGAACTGAAGGGAATGAACCATTTCAGTGCCCAACAGAATCTACCAAAACAAGTGACAAGAGCTAGTCCTTGCCCAGAATAACCAGAGTTGTTTCCATGGCTCAGATGCTGCATAACTGTGTCTTTTTTTAATAAAGGTTATACCTCAGCTCATTGCAAGAATTGATACGCCCAGGCCCTTGGTGGGCCGCCTCATTCACCAGCTTCTCACAGACATTGGTCGGTACCACCCCCAGGTATGTGGAGACCTTGGGCAAGTTGCTCATTGACAGCTGCCTTTTGCTTTGGTGCTCAGCCTTTCCTAAAGTTACTCCAGAGACAGTGAGGAAATGGGGCCAGCCCCCCATCCTGCTAGAAGCGTCTGCCCCGCTGGCATCCCAGTAGCCTTTTTCAGAGAGCGGTGGCCCCGCCTGGTACTCAAACGAGCATCAGGATCATACAGTTTCTTTTGTCATCCTCCTTAAAGTTAGTGTCAGGCTCCTTTCACACATGTTTGCACATATTCCTCTCTGTTTGCTTCAGGCCCTCATCTACCCCCTGACTGTGGCTTCTAAGTCTACGACCACAGCCCGTCACAATGCAGCCAACAAGATTCTGAAGAACATGTGCGAGCACAGTAACACCCTGGTGCAGCAGGCCATGATGGTGAGTCGGGAGCAGTGCGGGCTTCCACTGACCCTGGTCGCCGGGCCAGAGGGCTTGAGCTATTGTTTATCTTCCTCATGACAGTGCCGCATGCTCCCTCTGGCTGCCAGAAAGAGCACCTTCTGTTTCTCCAAGACATTCTGAGTTTCCTTTATCCTTGGTCTTCTCCCCTCCCCTTTGGGATCCAGGTGAGTGAGGAACTCATCCGAGTGGCCATCCTCTGGCATGAGATGTGGCACGAAGGCCTGGAAGAAGCTTCTCGTTTGTACTTTGGGGAGAGGAACGTGAAAGGCATGTTTGAGGTGCTGGAGCCCCTGCACGCGATGATGGAACGGGGACCCCAGACGCTGAAGGAGACATCCTTTAACCAGGTACGGGGTAGCAAAGCCTGGCAGACATGGCCCAGAGCCTTTGTCAGACCCCTTTCCTTCTAGCCTCTCTACTGACTTGAATAAGCTGTACTGTGTCAGAGGTCACAGGATATAAAAACACCAGAAATTTAATTGTCATTAAATTATAAACCCCCCCAAAATTTTAAGTGGAAAACCACACGATCCGTCACGAGATCCTACTTTACCTAACAAGCCATCCTGAAATTGGGAGCTCCAGGACTGGAGAGCTGCAGAGCGGCCCTTGTTGAGCCAGCCATGCCGCTGCCTCCCAGCCAGTGTGCTCCGAGGGGTGCTGCTGTCTGCTGGGATTTAGCCTGCGGCTTAAATCAACACCCGGGACCATTTGTGAATTTCCCCTGCATTCCTCTCAGGCATATGGTCGAGATTTAATGGAGGCCCAAGAGTGGTGCAGGAAGTACATGAAATCAGGGAATGTCAAGGACCTCACCCAAGCCTGGGACCTCTATTACCATGTGTTCAGACGAATCTCAAAGCAGCTGCCTCAGGTAGGATCTTCAGGTTCTAGCAGGATTAACTGTCATTATAGTCCTTTCTGTTTTACTACCTGCAAATGTTCTAACACTAATCCCGAAGCATCTGCTTTTACTTGTACTTGCAAATTTGGGACAAGTCATTGCTATTAGCAATTCATTAAAAAATACTTAAATTGCATGTTAGTTCCTCCCTGGAGGCAGAAAACTAATCCCTGTGGTAATTATTCACAGCTCACATCCTTAGAGCTGCAATATGTTTCCCCCAAACTTCTGATGTGCCGGGACCTTGAGCTGGCTGTTCCAGGAACATATGACCCCAACCAGCCAATCATTCGCATTCAGTCCATAGCACCATCTTTGCAAGTCATCACATCCAAGCAGAGGCCCCGGAAGTTGACACTTATGGGTAGGTACCACTATGTGCGTCTCCCTCGCACCCTGGCTGAACCCCTACCCCAGCTTGGAAATTACTGCTTGCCGTTCACACTAATCTTTCACATGCTCCGTCTCGCCCGTGTTTACTGTGAGGGGAATAGAGGACAAGTGGATTTCTCCTCATTCCATCCTCCTTGGGACTCCTAGTCCTTCACAGAGCTGCACTTGTGTAAGTGAAGCATAACGATCCTGCACAAAACCAAGTGGGGGGCATTGTGAGCTTGCAGCATGGAGGAACTGAGGCAGCGGTGGGGGAACTGGTGAGGCCCACAGAGCCATCAGGGTGCGTGGACGTGACAGGCTACATTGAAGGAAGACCTCTGAGCTCTGGACTATTCTTATTTTTTTTTACCATCACAGCCTGTCTTTGTGGGAAATGATTGTGTAAAATCCAAACAAGTGGGAATGAATTCTCACAGAGAGGTTTGCTGCCTGTCGGAGAGTTTTGGGAGGCCTAAGTACTCTGGTGGCACTTTGCGGTCTTTTGCCTTTAGTACTAATGCTCATGTTTTCTAAATGCAGTGATTATTCATCAGCACCAATTCCTTGTCCACAGTGATTGTCTCTCCACAGACAGGTATCTTCTAATACTAAAACATGTGTCAGTCAGGTTCCCGGCAATATTTAAAGAGACCTAATGAAGGAGCTGTTTCCAGAGGTGTGAGCAGAGTTAGGAGAACCAACAGTGAGAAGCTATTCCCCCCACTCTCCAGACCCATCAAGGGCTTTTACCACCAGAAGCTATAGCTCAGGTAGAGGGACGTAGCTGCTTCTAGAACTGTGGCCAGGCTGGGTTTTGGGCAAATACCCTGACCTCTCTCTCTTCCTGCATTCTATACCCTGATCTCTTTCTCTTCCTGCATTCTATATCCTGACCTCTCTCTCTCTCTTCCTGCATTCTATACCCTGACCTCTCTCTATCTTCCTGCATTCTATACCCTGACCTCTCTCTCTCTTCCTGCATTCTTACCTCCTGCCAGTGTCCTCATTGGCCAAGCCCAACTGGGGGCCCAGGTGATACAGTCTGGAGAGGCCAGGCTTCTCAGGTCAGAGCAGGACAGAGAAGGCCAGAGTGTGTTGGGAAGGGAAACATTCAGAAGACCATTTCTATGCAGAATCATTCCTGGTCCTGCCCTGGCTAGTGTGGCTTATTTGGTTGGAGCATCATCCCATGCACCAGAAGGTCACAGCTTTAATCCCCGGCTGGGGCTCATACAGGAGGCAACCAATCGATGTATCTCTCACATTGATGTTTCCCTCTCTGCCTTCCTCCCTCTCTAAAATACAATAAAAAGAATCATTCCTGGTCCTCAAAGACAAAGCTTTTTAAATTCAATTAATTAATTAATTAATTTTGGTTAATCCTCACCTGAGGATATTTTTCCATTGAATTTTAGAGAGAGTGGAAAGGGGAAGGAGAGACATCAATTAGTTGCTTGCTGCATGCGCCCCAATAAGTGCCAGGGACCCTGCAACCCAGGTATGTGCCCTTGACCAGAATCAAACCTGGGACCTTTCAGTCCACAGGCTGACTATCCACTAAGCCAAACTGGCTAGGGCTATTTATTTATTTTAAATATATTTTTATTGGTTTCAGAGAGGAAGGGAGAGGAAGAGAGAAATAGGAACATTAATGATGAGAGAGAATCATTGATCAGCTGCCTCCTGCACGCCCTCTACTGGAAATGGAGCCTGCAACCTGGACATGTGCCCTGACTGGGAATCAAACCATGACCTCCTTGTTCATAGGCCGATACTCAACCACTGAGCCACATGTCAGGCTCTTTTTAATTTGAACATCACATTGAGGGAACATCAAAAGCAGGGCTGTGTTCTTTTTATCAATTCTAGGGTGTTTAATATGCAGTCTGCAGGATCTATTGAAGACAGTGGTGGTCTACTCCCTGACAGGTTTAAGACCCTCTGATCTCCACTAACTGCTCCTACCATTCCTTACAGGCAGCAACGGGCATGAGTTTGTTTTCCTCCTGAAGGGCCATGAAGACCTGCGGCAGGATGAGCGAGTGATGCAGCTCTTCGGCCTGGTTAACACCCTTCTGGCCAATGACCCAACATCTCTTCGGAAGAACCTCAGGTATTCCGGATGCATGGAAATGGCAATGATTTGAGAAGTCTCCTAGTTTTTTCCTACATCCCTCCCATGTAGTCACGTTCTTGTATGAATAAAAATAAGAAAAATATATACGTGACAGGAAGCCATCAATAGCCAAGGTATCAAACAAAAAGAAAAATCCTCCATATTTTTAGAGTATGCGCATGTGAAGTGTCTTTAACAACCTCCAAAGGATCCAGAATGGAACACTTTGTGGCCATTAGACTGGAGATTCTGCAAATTTGATGTGTTGTAGCTGAGGTGGGGTTCCAGCCCAGCCAGACCTTTCCTATCCTCTGTACTTTTACCCCTCTTTCTTTTAAGAATATGAATATTTACATTTCTAAGCTGAGTTGGAACATGTGAGAGGTTATTTTAGGCTTAGAAATAATCACTGAATTTCCCCTCAAAGCACTGAGTTTGTTAGGCTGGTTGAGAGACTGCTGTGCTTCTGTACTGTCAGTGCACCATCTTTATGTGATGCCTTATTCTTTGCCAATGCCCTCATCACACACCTCACAACAGCCCTGTGCAGAGGGTTCATTGAAACTAGTTTGCTTGTGTCGTGAGCGGTCAAAGGTGTACTCTGTTTACTGTACAATAATCCTGCTTTCCTGTGGGCACCAGCATCCAGAGATATGCAGTCATTCCTTTATCAACCAACTCGGGCCTCATCGGCTGGGTCCCCCACTGTGACACGCTGCATGCCCTCATCCGGGACTACAGGGAGAAAAAGAAGATCCTTCTCAACATTGAGCATCGCATCATGTTGCGGGTATGTGATGCGCTGCCAGACCCAGCCCTATAACGTCTCGGAGCGAACTTGACCAGGTGGGGAAGGCTATGCAAAGCTGTTTTTCTGTGCTCTTCTGTATGTCCATCACTGAAAATCGATTTGAGGGAATTAGGCATTAAAGAAGGTTTAAGGAAATCAGTCCTAAAGAAGACAACCTTCTCTAAGAAACAGAAGGACCCTAAAGCCCAAAATTTAAGATTTCACCATCCGAGGTGAGACTGCACAGTATGACTTAGAGTACCCAATGCATACAGCCCTGGCCTGTGGAGAAATAATGTTAGGAGCTGTGTAGGTGATGAGAAAGAATTGTTACCCAGAAACGTGACCGCTCCGGTGCTCTCATTCTCAACAGTGGGCTTGTGCTGCTGTGAGGCCTGATGTTTTACCCTCAGGCTCTGGCAGCTCCTGTGGTCCTAAGGTGAGAGTGGCCCCTCCCATTTTTTCTTTTGCACCGTTCTTATTTCACTTCTCCTTTTGGCTGTGGTGGTGAAATTGGAACCAGCTCTGCCTCGACCTCAGCCTTATTTCTTCCTGGATTTAAGCTGCTTGTCTTGGGCTGCTTTCTCAGAATGGTTGTGTCCTGTTACAGATGGCTCCTGACTACGATCATCTAACTCTGATGCAGAAGGTCGAGGTGTTTGAGCACGCCGTCAATAACACAGCCGGGGACGACCTGGCCAAGCTGCTGTGGCTGAAAAGCCCCAGCTCCGAGGTACGGCACTCTCGGCTCCACGCACACGCTGCACTTTGGCACCCACTCTTGTCAGGAGGCTTTCTCGTGTTCATGCTCCTGTGGGCGCATTCTGTCATGATTAGCTGGAGATTATGTGCAATCTTTTATTACAAAGATTAAATGGGTAAGCCGTGCACTTTAGCAGATGTAGATTTAGTACTTTAATGTTTCTCCTGTTACTTATGATAGTATTTGAGTTCTTTATATATTAAGGTGATTAAATCCTTTTCATGTGTGTTATAAATTACCTGTTTATTTGCTGTTTTAATTTTGTTAATGGTATGTTCCTTGGTTTTGAATTTTGTTTTGTTTTTTATATACAGGCATTTTTAAAGTTATAAATTATCAGATTTTTAATTATTTAAAATTTGTGCCTTTAGCTTTATATTTAGAAAAACCCTAATTAAAAAAAAAGAAAAAAAAGGCCCTCTGCACTTCAAGATTATATCTTTTTACATATATCATAATAATTATAAGATTTGTTTTTGCATTTAAATCTTTAATCCAATTTGGAATCTAGCATTAGGATATAAATTTTATTTTCTTATGATGACTAGCCACAATATTTACCATATAACCCATCCTTCCCCTATTTAAAAGATTCTTTTTATTTGTTTGTTTGTTTGTTTAAATATATTTTTATTAATTTCAGAGAGGAAGGAAGAGGGAGAGGGGATAGAAACATCAATGATGAGAGAGAATCATTGATTGGCTGCCTCCTGCATGCCCCACACTGGGGATCGAGCCCGCAACCCGGGCATGTGCCCTGACCAGGAATTGAACCGTGACCTCCTGGTTCATAAATAGATGCTCAACCACTGAACCATGCCAGCCAGGCTCCTTTTTCGTTATACACTAAATTCTTATATGCCTTTGGATTTCTTTCTAGAGCTTCTATTCTCTTTCATTGATCTTTCTACCTGTTTCTCCTCAAGTACCGTACTATTAATACAAGTCTCTTCTCATTGACCATTTTCCAGATACATTTTGGAAACATTTTGTCAAGGTTCCCCAAAAAAGTACCACTGAATTTTTATTGGAATTACATTAAACGTATCTAATAATTTGGGAGGATATCTTGACAATCTTAAGTGGATATCCTTAAATAGATATTTTCATTTATTCAAGTCTTTACATTTCTAAGCTGAGTTTAATTTACTTATTCATCTAAGTTCTGCACATTTTTTAGTTTATTTTGAGCATGGTTTATTATTTTTTATAATTGTGAATAGGATCTTTATTCCATTCTACATTCTAACTGCTTATGATAGAATATAAGCAAATAATTGATTGTGTACACTTATGTGGAAACTATTTAAAGTTTCCAGAGCCTGGTTCACTCATGCTCCTGTGTTCTAGGTGTGGTTTGATCGAAGAACCAATTATACCCGCTCTTTAGCTGTCATGTCCATGGTTGGGTATATTTTGGGCCTGGGAGATAGGTGAGTGAGTTTGATTTGTTTCTTTAAGTCTTCTTTCCCCATGTGGTGTTCTTGAATGGTTTTATTTTGTTTTCCAGTGAGATTTCTGACCATTGGTAAATGTTTGTATTTTGTACTTTAGGCATTTTTTGCGGCATCAACCTTAGTCTCCTATTTATTATCCGTGCCTGCGAGCAACACATCAAACTAAAGGGAAGGAAAATCATAGTTCAAGGGTACTACTTTCTGCATAGATTGGTTTCATGTATTAAAAAACCATATTAAATCCAGTTGATTTGATTGATTCAATAAACATTTATCAATCACCACTATGTTAAGATAAATAATTCTATTTCTGTAATTGAAACCAACCAAAGTAGATCCTGCCAATATTTCTTCATAATAAATTTCATCTTAATGTACTGACTGGAATAGTAGTTAAGGAATGTTCAGAAATTGACTCAACAGACTTTTTTTAAAAACTACTTCTCTTATGTCCACTATTTTTTCTCCTGGGATCATGTCTCATACACTTATTTGAGAGTAAAAATAATTTTATCACACAAAAATAATAAATACTTGTGTTTTTTTAAAAAAGCAGAATGCCTGTTTACAGAATTCAGGTGGTCCTGCCTGGATGGGCTCGGGGCTCAGGGCGATGAGGCCCTGTGATAGGTCTGAGCAGTAATGACAGAGCCTGTCACTCTGAGATGCCAGCGCTGCCAGGAACAATTTATCTTGTGACTAGATTATCATGGTATCGTGGGCAACTTGTGATTCACGCAGATAAATCCTGTTTCAGGCCTAGGGCAGGGGTTGGCAAACTTTTTCTTAAAGAGCCAGATAATATTTTTGGCTTTGTTGGCCATATAATACGATCTCTGTCACAATTGCTCATGTCTGCTGTTGTAGCACAAAAGCATCCTGGAGCAATACTTAAACAAATGAGCATGACAGTGTTCCAATAAAACTTTATTTACAAAAACAGGTGGGGGCCGGGATTTGGCCTGACAGCTGTGCTTTGCCAACCTGTGGCCTAGAGTATCACATACTTGGTGATTTATTTATCAGTGTTGCTCTCTTGATACCCTCCCGGTCTCTATTCTGTTTCTCAAAGACACCCATCCAACCTGATGCTGGACCGGCTGAGTGGGAAGATCCTGCACATTGACTTTGGAGACTGCTTTGAGGTGAGCACATGTTCCAGAGCAGCACAGAAAGCTCACCTTCCCGGATGACCAGTTTTCACCCTCCTCTGACCATTTTGGCAAACTCAAGCTCACCCCTGCCTCTCCTGCCAAGGTGCTAGGAAGTCAGTCTAAAGAATGAAATCCATGCTCTTTAATACTTGGTTTAGTTGGATTCAAACTGCCCTTGGGGTAAGGGCCACTCACTCACTGAGCCTCTTTGAATGGAGGACCCTCATCCTCCGCACAGCCTGCCGGTCCAAGGCCTGAGCATCATGCACACTTTTTCTTTTTGTTTCTTCTTTCCCTCTTTTTTTCTTCTTAGTTGTCTTTCAAATCCCTGTTCAAGTCCCCTCACTAAACTCAAGTTACTTCATTTCTGTGCTTAATTGAAATAGAAAGGAAAGGAAAGCCCCCCTATTTACCTGGCATTAGCTAAAGAAAACAATCTAACGACTGGACTGGGTTTTTCCCTTTATCACCCTGTAGGTTGCTATGACCAGAGAGAAATTCCCAGAGAAGATTCCATTTAGACTGACAAGAATGTTGACCAATGCTATGGAGGTGAGTAGATATTGGTAACAAGCTGCTTTGAAATAGGGGCAATACAGTTACAACCCTGACAACAGACTTGCTTGTTAGAGCTCACCAGTTCCCCAAAATGCCTGGAGTATTTTTGTAGTCTTTTTCTGGTATTTTCCATTGTTTTAAAAATAATCAATCTTTGAAAACAAAAAAAAAACAAAAAAACAAAAAAAATAATAAAATAAAATAAAAATAATCAATCTTTGAAAGTATTACCATTTTTTATGTCACATGAATCACAATTGTGACCTCACTGATCCCTTGCTCTGAAGACATTCCCAGCCTGATACATGGGTATTGGCCTGTGTCTGCTTCCTCAGTGGGGGTGGTGGACCCTCTCGACTGCCTGACTTTTGGTCCTGAGGCCTTAAGGGGCCAGTATCAGTGACTTGTGTGGTGAGTGGCTCTGGCCCTTGTGCAGGTTACTGGTCTGGATGGCAACTATAGAATCACATGCCACACAGTGATGGAAGTGCTTCGGGAACACAAGGACAGCGTCATGGCTGTGCTGGAAGCCTTTGTCTACGACCCCTTGCTGAACTGGAGGCTGATGGACAGTGAGTATTAGCATGTGCCTGGGAGCTGGAGTCCGCACCCTCCCAAATGAGGAGTATTTGACTCAGTACATTTCACCAGCCTGTGGCCTTTCAAGCCTGGAGCCTGAGCTGTATTACTGAGCAATTGCATTACATTTCACAAAGTACTCTGGTGTTTGGAAATGAATTTCAAGTATTTTTATTAACCAGAACATAAAACTCCAGTCACCAATTTGAATATTATCTAAAATATTTTTCAGTATAAATGAAGTACCTCAGTGCTTTTTGTTTGTTTAGGTTTTATGTAGAGTAACAAGCTGGAATTTTGATAGGAAATGCAAACAGTTGTGATTTGAGTCAGCAATATCTCCCTCTGCCCTTTGTTCCCACCTCCTTCGAAGTTTATTAACACGTTAAGCGCCCAGTCAGTCACCGGTGACTGACACTATACTTTCCATCCGGAAGACAAAACAGGCTGGGCGCTTAACGTGTTACCAAGAAGAGTTCACTAACAAGAGGAGTCTGATCACTGCGATTAAGTCATGCTTTTACCTTAGGAGATCTGGTTTACGTTCTCTAACTCCAACCCGACGATAGAGCGTCCCTCAGGATTGCACATCCATGCTCACATCCACCCACGACTCCTGAGTGATACACCTTTGGTTCTGTCTTAGAGGATATAGCTTTTGGAAATACTATGCTTTTATGATTGTAAGAAAATATCACATCAGCCAAGTTACTTTCAAGTCAAAGTCTGAGGCACTCTTTAATCATCCCTTTACTTCTTTCTCTAGCAAATACCAAAGGCAACAAGCGATCCCGGACAAGGACAGATTCCTACTCTGCTGGCCAGTCAGTAGGTGGGTGCCCCGTGGGAGACGCACATTCTGTCCCCTTCTATCCAGAGTGTTTCTAGAACAGGGTGAGCTCTGCTACTGCATTAGGAGGCATGACTTACAGTAGGAACAGATGCTGAATATGGGGAAGTCACCCAAAGGGAAGGAAGATTCTATCACTGCTAAAGTCTCACCTCATGGGCATTTATTTAACTTCAATAATGTGGTATAGAAATATAGACTGAGCAGCAAGCACCTGGTATATGTTTTTTTATTTAATGCCTCTCAGGATGGAGTGGGTACCTAAAGCTCAGAAATTTTGATCCAACTGTCCAATCTTAATGTAGCTATAGAAATAAAATTAAAAGTGTGTCTGAATATTAGTATTTAGCATGCCCTTGAGCAGTGTGTGGATTGGGATAGTTATTAGCTATACTACCTTGATCCTAAAGCCTTGTTAATAGCTCAGAAGTGGAAAGGTGCAGGCAGCAGAAGTGTACTCACATTGCTGCCTGAGGAGCCAGAAAACCACGCAAAACATTGTTTCCAAGAGAGTGGTCCACAGAACAGGCCCCCAGGAAGGTAATGCCCCACCAGGGCCAGAGCCCCACAGGGGTTTGTGTGTGAGCACTCTTCAGAGGTCTTACGGTAAAGCTATTTAACCTCATTTAGCCTTCCTCTTGTCCCCAAACCCCAGCCTGTCCCTTCTTTCCTCATAAAATCTAACATCTACACAGTTCACATTTTGGGAAATACTGTTGGGGATGTAAAAAAAGTAAATATTCTCTTCAGTCGTTTATGGAACACTCACAACTAGTTACTTAGCTACGCCAAATAATGTTAAGGATGCAAAAAGAATGTGACATAGAGATTGCCCTAAAGCACAGAATCACATTATAGAATTGACCAAAATATATATTAAATAATAAGAGAACAGTACATCCCACTGTGTAATCAAGTACCACGTGATCTGGTTTGGAATAAAGGACTGTGGACTTAGCGAGCAGAGTAATCAGTCTGAGCTGCAGTAGGTAAGGGAGCTCTTGGGTTGGTGGAATTTAAGCTGAGACTTACTGGACAGATGGAATCTGGATGGGTAGAAGGGAAAATGGTGTTCTGGGCAGGAAATTGGAATCCTGGGTTACATCTCTGCACATGTGTGGACTCTACCCTAGACACATGATAGCATCCTTAAATACCTAAATCAGCCACGGGATCTGGGGTACCTTGTGTAAGTGACTG